CCAATCGACAGCAAATACGTTTACAAGTCCCACCCCAAAGTACCGAAGTACCAAAGGATTACCCCAACTGGTTTGGCACTTTCGGTACTCGAGATTTCGGTACTGGTACTCGACCAGTATCAGTCAATGGAAAAGCGAAAGTACCGTACCGAAAGTACCATACTTTGAGGGGTGGAAAAGCGCCCTGAATGTCTGAGATTGTGGGTGTCCTGGATAAAGACCAAGATAGAGGCATTTAATGACTTCTTGGGCACAGCCATCAGTAGTGTGTCTGTCTGTGGGGAGAATGTCGACCTTGTCGAGAGATTTACCTACCTCGGCAGCGACAGTCATGTCTCTGGGGAATCTTCCTATAAAGTCAGCAGTGTGTGATCAGCTGTTTTGAGCATGGGGGGTCATGAGGTTGCTGGAAAGGGGTGTGTGGTGCTCCTGATATCTTTGCAAGAGGACAAAGGTCCAAGTCTTTATAGTCCTGGTGCTCCCTGTCTTGCTGTATGGCTGTGAGACATGGACGCTATCCAGTGAGCTGAGATGAAGACTGGACTCCTTTTTTACTATGTCTCTTCAGAGGATCCTTGGGTACCGCTGGTTTGACTTTGTGTCGAATGAACAGTTGCTAGAGGAGTCCCGAATGAGGGACATGACCCACATTGTGAGGGAGCGTCAGTTATGGCACTACGGCCTTTTGCCGCATTTCCCTGAGGGTGATCCGGCTCACAGGATCCTCATTGCTGAGCACCCAAGCGGCTGGACCTGGCCAAGGGGATGCCCAAATAACACCTGGCTGCGGCAGATAGACAGCCATTTCCAGAGGGTGGGACTGGACTGTGTGTCAGCCTGGGGGATCGCAGGCCGGGATCCCGAGGAGCTTCTATGTATGGTGGGTGCGGCAACGCACTGCATCAGTGCATGATCCCCAACCTGACCTGACCTAACCTGATTCTGATTTTGACATATACTATACACATACTGTCATGCCCTGCTCATCCAATCCTCCCGTGTGCCACGCCACCTCGCTACCTCGTGTGGAATCCCTGTGTGATCAGCTGTTTTGAGTTGCTGTCATTAGTCCTGTGTTTTTAGGTCCGCATCAAAGTATGTTTCCCAAGTCCTGTCATTGAAGTTGCTACTTGTTTTGCCCCGTGTGCCTTGCTGTTTTAACTTGTTTCCCGATTCTCTGTCTCCCTGCTCCTGCTTCCCTGGGCCGTGTCATGACAGAATGACAGGACTCCATAAGAAGATGCCTTGCCTGTCCACAGAAGAATACCACAGTCACACAGATGAGGTACTGTACTGGCTGACACAGCCCGAGGTCCTGGAAGACCCCTTGGCTTACACTCTGGCTGCAGACTCGAGGGAGATCCTGGAGGCAATCTTCCCATCCAAAGATTCGCACCTCGCAGAGGGAGCGGGGTGGTCAAGGTGATGCTTGGAAAGGTAGCTTTGGACTGCGGACTACCCCCGACCCACTGGCCGAACCAGCCCCGGCTCCAACAAAAGTGGCCAAGAAGAAGTGGAGCGGCGGATCCCTCGGGGAATCCCCTTCAGCCTGACGCAGGTCCCGCTTGCTTCCACGTCGCCCCTAAAGGGGTTTACCTCACGGTGCTCGATCCAGCAGTGTTTGTCGCGCCCAGGTCACCAGCCTCCACTTCCAGCAAGCTGGCTTCGGAAGTGCCTGATCTCACTGCACCGACTCCTGAGACGCACCTCCCAGAATGCTCGGTTTCCCTCATCCCAGTCTCCAATGCCTGTGCCTTCGTTGGCACACGCCTGGCCCGTAAAGGTGTCAGGTCGGAAGAGGATGTGATTCCCTGGATCCCCAAGTTCCCCAAAAAAAGGGGTGTTAGCTCCACCCCCCTGTGGTTCCTGTGCCGGCGGTTCCTGCTCCACCCCCCCATGGTTCCTGTGCCGGCCCTTCCTGCTCTGCCCCCCGTGGTTCCTGTGCCGACAGCTCCTGTTCCGCCCGTCATGGTTCCTGTTCTAGTCCCCGTGGATCTCGCTTCTGAGGTTCTTGTTCCAGTCTGTCGTTTCTGCTCCCAAGGTTCCTGTTCCAGTCCCCGTGGTTCCCACTCCTGAGGTTCCTGTATCAGTCCCAATGGTCTTTGTCCCAGAGGTTCCTGTTCTCGTGCCCCCGTGACTCATCTCGGAAGTTCCTGCTCTTGGGCCCCCATCTCCCATGTCCCCAGTCCCTGCGGAGGTCCTGGACCACTGGTCCTTCCTCCTTGGAGGAGGAGGCGCTCGAGTGGGACCCCTTGGGGATCGCCCTAATGACTGCACAACTGAACCGCTCCAGTGGGTCACCCCAGCCACTACACCAGCGTGGTCGATCCTGGCCGGGTCCCCGTCTCTCCATCTCATGGAGTGGACAAGGACACCTGTGCCAGGGTCGGGTCCCGCCCTCCCTGCCCACTGGCTTGCCTTTGGTCCCCCTGGCTTTGGCTCAGTGGTTGCCTGTGGTCCCCCTGCCTCCAGCTCGACAGTCACCTGCGGTTCCCCCTATTTTGCTGACTGTGGCTACACCTTCACCTGCCACGGCTTCTGCTCCCTCCTCTCCTCCTCCGGTGTCCCCTTCACCTCCCTCCTCTCCTCCGCTGGTGTCCCCTCCATCTTCCTCCTTACCCCCTCCGTCAGTCCCTCCATATTCCTCCTCGCCCCCTTCAGTGTCACCTCCAGCTCCTGCCTCGCTTTCGCCGAAGGTCCCTCCAGCTCCGACCTCGGGGTCACCTGTGGCCCCTGCGGCTCCTGCCTTCCACCCACCAGGGTTCCCTCCGGTTCCCCACTTCCCCCTGTCCTTTGCTTCCTTGCCCCCTGGTTTTGTGTCCCCTGTGTTTGCTCCCCGTTACTCTGTGCTTTTGTTCCCTCCTGGTCCCTTCACTCCTCCTTTCGCTGGTTTGCCCCCTGCTGTCGTCCCTCCGTTGTTCCCGTCCTTGGTGTCCCTCTAAAAAGAAATGCAATTTTAATTAATCTACATCTTAAAATGAACCCACCTTTAAATAGGGCCCTGAGTGTCTTCCTCTGATTTTCCACCTTCATCATCCTCTGTTTTGCTCTCTCTTCCACTGATCTCCTCTTCACTTCCAGTTTCTCTATGATCATTCTATTGATTTCAAAGTGACATCCACTGTTTCCTGCCACCATCTCCTCCACCTTCTCCAGCAGCTCAGTGACCTGAGTGACATCACCCCTCTTCTGATTGTTGAGAACATGATACCTGTTCCCACATTTCCCAACCAGCCACCGGAGAGCCTCCCCTTCAGCCTCTATGTGCTGCTCAATAGTTCTGTCTCCCAGCCAGTCTCCCCTGGTGAACAGCACTATAGTGTGTCTCCAGACTGTCCCACTCAGAAGTTCCAAATGTTTCTCCAGTGACCTCCTCTCTGTCTCTGTGAATGAAGCATCTGCCCTTAAAACAATAAATAAAGCACAGGGTCCTGGGGGACACAGAGACACACTGTGCACAATCTCCTGTTTGTCAGCCTCTGGTGTTCCGTCCACAGACCAGTCCTTCCACCATCCTGGTGTGTCGACCACAGTGACCTGCCTCCCAGCCACTTCACTCTGTCTCTTCACACACTGCGCAGTTCTTCTCTTAGTGACAAACTCTTCTCTCCCCAGGATGGTGTTTCCTGCTGAACTTTTCCCAGTCCACCTCCCTCCCAGCAGAACAATCCTCAGCTCTGAAAGATCCTGTGTTTGCTCTGTGTCAAAAAACACATTTGTAAATTCATTAGTTTGGGGGAAAATTTTGATGGAAATAAAATCCCTCATAGTCTGGTGCTACATGCTGACACATTTATCAGTCTTTGTAGTTTAATAAATTAACACATAATGTCAAAGGTACAACATGGCAATTTATTGCTTGTGAGCAACAATATTTATGCATTTTTTTAATCTCAGAAACCCTCAAAATCAGAGCGGTTAACGAGTGAAATAAAAGGTACAATTGTGAAACATAGTAGCATTTAAGACAAATTTCCTGACCTTAAAAATTAATTACTCTGATTTTGGTGATTGCTGTACACATCCTGCCTTAGTTACATCAAAACTATTAATTAGTGCAACTTGTTTGCATCACATGCTTTACAAGAGATACATTTGAAAGATTTTGTCACTAATGTTTCCATTAAAGCTACATATAGTATAATTCATGTACTTATAAATCGGATGAGACTAATGATTTTTTAACTAAAATAAAAAACAGTTTTGACTGATCTACATCTTAACATGAACCCACCGTTAATTAGGGCCCTAAGTGTCTTCCTCTGATTTTCCACCTTCATCATCCTCTGTTTTGCTCTTTCTTCCACTGATCTCTTCTTCTCTTCCACTTTCTCTATGATCATTCTGTCGATTTCAAAGTGACATCCACTGTTTCTTGCCACCATCTCCTCCACCTTCTCCAGCAGCTCAGTGACCTGAGTGACATCACCCCTC